GGATTCGAACCCGCGACCCTCAGATTGTGAGTCGAGCGCCTTATCCACCTGGCCATGCCGGGCACGAGTAAGTAAGACAAAGTTAGTTAAAAATAAATAGAACTAGACTGCGTGTTTGTGAGTTTAGCTGTAAAGAGCGTATAGTGGCGTGTGTTTTTTTTTTAAGTGAAATTATCGCAGATTATATTGTAACAACAGAGTATAGAATAATAATTTATCTTGTCAAATGTTTTCTAAAGTAACTGAACAAGCTTGTGTAGACTTTGACGAAAAGACACTATTATTTTCAGCTCTGGACACAACTGTGGTGATTAACTGTGTAACGAACATTTGTATATACGTTTGTCTTGTTTTGATATATATTATTTTAAAACAAGTGGACTGTGTGCTGTTTGTTTATTGTTGAAATTTATCGCCAACAGGTCACAGACACCTACTGTAAAGAATCCGTAAAAACCTGATAATCATTAAGTATTAATATGAAAGAAATCACTATTTAATTTTAGATCACAAAAGTAATTGTAATACATATTGAATAAGAATAAAATAGGATCTGTTTGCTTCTTATGGCTTTTTACTCTATGTGCACTAGAAGCAACTCACATTTCTCAGTGTCCTCTAACACCACCCCTCCAGAACAAAAATAAAAAACGCTTGCTTTAAGATGTTTGAAAAGTACTATTTTTGTCAGTCAGTCCCTGCATTTTCAATGTCTTCTGTGCATTAACGACTGAAAATGTAGCAAGTATTACTTAAATGTACAAAGATTTACATTCGTAGAACACATTAACTTCCCAAGACACATTTATCCTGTGACGGTCTTGCGCACTAACAGAATTAATATTATGACATGATCAGATAATATACATATATGTACCCCAATCTTACACGTTCCCTTCCTTTTCCGCCTTCATTAATGTCTGTACTTTTATTCGCTAGAGTAATTTGCTATAATTGATACATATATGTTTCCCTGAAAACGTTAAACAGAACATACGTAAAATATTGCTCGCGTGAAAATAACATGAAAGTTGTGCTCACTCAAATGCATCATAACTACAGTTGAATTGTTTGTTTAAAGACGTTCTAATAATGTTACTTTAAGTTAGATTAAGTTGTTAGGCAAGTTTTTCATTAGCACTGGTTTAAATTACACTTTTAAAAGAATATAACGGTCAATGCTCCTGCTAGTTTCCAATTTAATATCTTTAGATAATTGCTCCTGTACTCTAATGTGAACAATAACAAAATTTATGTAAATATAATTTTGAATCCGCTTCATACAAAAGAATAAACATCAAACATATTTCAAAATCTAGAAGTAATTCGACAGTAATTTTCAGCCTATTCGACATTCTATAATCATACAAATGTGAATAGGAGCTATATGTAACACAGTAAGTATTCTTATATGTACATTTGTATATAAACGAGATCATATGTATGACATATATACGAGTTTCCAATCACAGAAAAAACTAATATTTGCGTACTTCTTTTCTATTTCATTTCTAGCCCGGCGTGGCCAGGTGGTTAGGGAGCTCGACTCGCAATCTGCGAGTCGCGGGTTCGAATCCCCATCCCACCAAGCATGCTCGCCCTTTCAGCCGTGGGGGCGTTATAATGTGACGTTGGTAAAAGAGTAGCCCAAGAGTTGGCGATGGATGGTGATGACTAGCTGCGTTCTCTCTAGTCTTACACTGCTAAATTAGGGACGGCTAACGCAGACAGCCCTCGTATAGCTTTGCGCGAAATTCAAAACCAAATGAATGAACAATCTATTTGATTCTAAAATTAAAATTGGCCACAGAAAGAGTTAAGAGTTTCGTGAACTAAATATGGTCATAACAGATTTTGTGATAATGAGTAAAACCAGGCACCCTTAGTTATAATTAAAACATCATAATAA